ATTAAATACAGAAAGTAGGATTTAAGTGGTTCCAAGTAGTAACAGACAGAACAAAGTAAGTCACCAAGCAAAATAAAATAAAATGCGCAAATCTATGTCTAATCAAACTAAATGCAGATAATCTCACCCTCAGAGATGCCTCAGTACGTTTGTGGGTGGTGTTGTGGTTTTTTTTGGTTCTTTTGGTTTTTTCTTCCCCCTCAGACTGGACACCTTCCAGGCCTGGGCACAATTCTTTCCCCCGGTACAGCTCTTGTTCCAGCTTAGGTGGTAGCTAGGGGATTCTTCATGATGGCTCTCTTCTCCTCCTTTTGTTCTGTTCCACCCATTTATATATCTTTTGCATAAGGCGGGAACCCTTTGTCCCTCTGGGTTTCCCCACCCCTCCTCACTGGAAAAGCACCAGGTTAAAGATGGATTCAGTTCAGGTGACATGATCACATGTCACTGCAAGACTTCATTACCCACTTGCCAGCACACAATATACAGGAAGACTCACAGGTAAACAAAGCCATCTGCAGACAATGGTCCTGGTTAATGGGAGTCATCAAGATTCCAAACCACCATTAATGGCCCACGCTTTGCATAATTACAATAGGCCCTCAGTTATATTTTGTATTTCTAGTTTTAGATACAAGAGTGGTACATTTCTACAAATAGGATGATCACACTCATTAGATTATAAGCTTTATAATGATACCTTACAAGAGACCTTTTGCATGAAGCATATTCCAGTTACATTATATTCATTTATCATGTTTTTATAAAACCATATAGACTGCACGACGTCACAAGTGCCTACGTACATATACTATGAATGGGAGGAGAGGCGCCTTAGAAAGTGATCTGCAAAGCTAGCATGCTAGGCAGGGAGTCGCCTAAGCTTGCCAATGGTGGTGTGTGTTAGGCTGCAGGGAGGAGCCTGGATTTAAGAGCCTATCTGCTCGTGATTCACGAACTGGAAACATCACTCCTGGCGTCAGGCAGTTTAGGTTTATAAATCACTTAAGTCTTGCAAGAAGTGCTTGGCTCACTCCACACACAACTTGTTGGGGGGAGGGAGGGAAGGGGAGGAGGAGGGTGGTGGTGGTGCCCACTTTATAGCTTTTTGTCCAGTGGATAGAGCAGTCACCCTATTCCTCTCATCTGCCTGGGGGTGAAGGAGAGGATTTGAATGGGAGGTCTTTCACCTCTCCTGACAGTGCTCTAACCTCTGTGCTATGGGAGGTACTGGTGTGAGGCTCTGTCTCCTGTTAAAGCTGTTCCACTGTGGATAAATAGTGATTGGAGCGAATAGTGATTGAAGCTGGGGTCTCCCACCTTTCAGGTGGGTCCCTAATAACTGGAATACAGAATAATCTCTCTCTGGTGCACTTTACTATTTATCCATCCAGGAAAAGCTTCAACAGGAGAGACTGGGGGAGCCCACACCAGAATATCCCATAGCTCAGTGGTTGGAGCGCTCTCCTGAGATTTGAGTAGGGCCTCTCCCCTCAGTCAGAGGAGGGGAATGGAATCTGGGTCTCCCACATCCTATGTGAGTGCTCAAACCATTGGGCTGAAAGTTATAGGATGGTACCTCTTCTGTAGGCTGGATTTTGAATGGGATCTGATCTGCTAGGCCGCCACTGACGTGCCTACAGGATCCAGCCCTGCATGCAAGTTAGCTGGAGGAACATCATCTTTCCCCTGTTCCTGGAGTGCTCCGGAAGTTAGGCGTCTGGATGCCTAGTGGGAGGCAGCAGTGAGGTCTGTGGTCTGCAGTGGAGCCTAAAACTGGGACTTAAGTGCCTAAGTACCTTTGTGGCTCTGGTCCTCTGTGCTGAATTGTGTACTGCATCTTTAAATGCGATCCCTTCACTGCTGCCGTTTTGTCACCTGTCTGCTGCAGAAGGGGGTACACCATGTGTGTCAAGGAGGCCTTTTGAACTTAGCCTCCTAATACAACCAGGCTGTTTATTGTATGGGGAGCAGACCATATAACTGTAGCCTGTAGCTGTCTTTCATGGCTGGTTTTCTAAACTTCTTCAGAACATGGCTCACCTTCCAGATGGGAGCCAGGTGTTTCCCTTGCCATCCTTCACTCCCCTCAGACTCTGGCACGGCTGTATTGTGACTCAGAAGGGCGCTTTGCCAGGCTGCCCTCTGTCTCAGAACTGAGCTTGAGAGGAGATGCTCGAGATGACTTGGGCAGTTGCTGTATTAGAGACCAATCAGTCACATGAGGCTGGAGTTCAATTCGGGTTTAGAATCCTAGTCAAACTGGCCTTTTTCTTT